GGCTGGACAGCCCCAGCTCCCTCAGCCTTTCCCTGCCACAGATGCTCCAGGCCCTGAATCATCTCTGCAGCCTCCACTGGCCCCAGTCCAGGAGCTCCCTGTCCCTGCTGTGCTGAGGAGCCCAGGACTGGTCACAGCATTCCAGATGTGCCTCCCAGGGCTGGGCAGAAGGACAGGATGATCTCCCTCTACCTGCAATCCATGCTCTTCCCAGTGCACCCCACGATGCTGTCCCTGCAGCCCGGCATAACCCTTGGCACTCTGCCAGTCGGGACTCCCTGAGGGATCGTGGCTGGGACAGGTCTCACAGTCAGGAGTTAGACTGGCCTCAGCTGGGCAGAAGGCAAATCTGTGAGCTCATGTTGGAGGAGCGACAAAGGGCAATCATCTGCTCCCATCACGACATGGAGCGTGTGGAAGTGAGGGAAAGTTTGTCTTAATGTCATCACTTGACTTGAGGAGAGTTGCTGATGAGGAGGACTTAACTGACAGATTTGGTTTATTTTACCTTGTTAGTCTTTATGTAGACATAAGGAACTTAGGAGTTGTGTGCACTAAAGCAGATTTCTTGCCCAGTGACCTCACAATTTCAGGATCTACAGGCAGACCCAGAGAATCCACCATGGACCTCCCAGAGCACTGTGAACCTACCTGCTGGGACCAGCTCTTGAAAGCATTAGGTTTGGTGGGTTTGAAATAACAGAAACCTAAATTTAGCATGTTTGAACTTGAATGAGGTGCAGGAATGCCTCCTGAAGAGACTGACTGTCCTTTGGGACATTTGAACTCCGGTCCCACGTTTGGAGCCTGAGCTAATGAAGTTGTGCACTCATATTCACCATGTTGGAAGTACAGACACTTAATGCAGAAACAGCATTAGCAAGAAGGGAAAAGGCACTGTATGATAAATAAATTCAAAATAAGCTGGTTATGGATCTAGAAAAGTTGTATTTCACCAAAGCTCTCTTCCCAGAGCAGAAGTCCTTAGAAATCTTGTGTCAGTAACAGTGGTCAGTGGGAATGACAGACATCCCTACCCCCTAGCAGGAGTGGGGGATGGTTTTGACTTGGGTGTTTGTGAGTTGTAAGCTTTGATTTCAGTACCTCACTCCTGTCTGCTCCCCACAGCTGCCACAGGGGGAGGCAGGGTCAGTGTGGGAGGGATGCTGAGGCCCAGCTGTGACAATGAAAATGGAATGAATATTCACAACGTGACGTGCCAGTTCCTGCCTTGCTGCCGGAGCTCCTCTGGTGGGTCCTGCCAGCACAGCAGATGGCAAGCACTGAAAGGCTCTTGTGCCAGTGGAAAATTACTGAGTTTTGTTGGTCCTGTGCATGTATGTGGATGTGTGAGGGGGGAAGTGGGGCAAACTTCCATTTATTTAATTATTTTCAAGAGAGAAAGGGAAACAAATGGCTCCCAAAGACTAAAAAAACTACTGGCATATGAAGAAGCAGTCTCTTGTTTTAGAGGAATGAGGCATGTCTGTTTGCATTTCGAGTTTTCTGTATGATTCCATGTAACTTTCCTCATAAGTCAGGATTGTGAATTTTTCTAAATAAAAGTGCAATTAAAAAGAGAAACAGTATATTAATAAAAGCACTGGCTGTTGCTTAACAGACCTATGGAAAAATGAAGTATTTAATGTTTCTATTTTTATGTGGCTGTAAAAGTATTTATGTTAGCAGACATTCCATCACAAAACACACACGGTTTATTTTCATTTTCTAATTTTAAATATATGTTTTTAACAGAGCTGTACACATAGAAGGTTATCTCACTGCTATAGAAGTCTGATTAATGGGTTCACCACTGTTGCAGTTGCAGTTAGTGGGCTGTTGCCTTGTGAATATTGGAGTTTGTCCATAGTTTTTGAAGGTCTGTGCACCTAGAGAAACTTACAACCAAATGCTCATCCTGAAATGAACCATGGCAGAGCCAAAACAAGCAGATGAATTTGTTTGTTGTTGAAGGAGAGCTGACAGAAATACCTAAGGTTTTAACCCAAACTGTGACACAGTGTAACCATTGCCAACAGCCCAATAAACTTTTATTTCTGTGTATTTCCACAGCTAGCCCATCATATAGAAATATAAGCACCTATTCACCGTGTAGGAGGACAGCAGCTCTTTAAGCTGCCAGGCATAGGAGTTAGACAAACATTTTGGAACAGAATCTTTGCTCTGAGCATGCAAACTTCTGCGGGCTGCGTGCTGTGCCACTCCTGCAGGCTGTGACAGTCCTCAGGGTCCTGCTCCCTCTGCTCCGCCTGCAGCAGCAGCGGGATCCACCCCGGGCGCAGCAATTCAAGGCAAACACAAAAGCCCAAATACCTCTTGTCAAATTCCACCGAACCTCTGAAGCCTTCAGAAAACTCAGGGGAGCGTCTGTGGCAAAGCAAAACAATGCTGTCCTCGTTGTAGTTCAAAGGAGGGAGAGCTTGTCAGAGAAAGGACATTGATGGGAGGGTTTGACATTTCTTTCTCTGCAGTCAATTGGTGTAACAAATCCAAATTGCTGGATCACAGTCATGCTGGAGATCTCTCTTGGAAAGATTCAGAGTGGGTTTTAACCATGAAAGCTCCCTCTCAGCCTCAGAAATAACCTAGAAATGTTTAATTCACAAGTAGTTTGCATCTAACTACTTAATGAACATTTAGGAATCAATTCTGACTTTCTTTCTTACTGTTTTCCTAATACATCCCAGGTGTATTTCTTAAGAATAAGCCAGAAAAAATCCAGAACACTTGAGAATGGTCAGAGAATAGTGCAGAGCTGGGTAAACATAGTGCAAACCATTCAGAAACATTCCCATAAATTTTCTACTGGTTTATTAGGACCTTTTTAGCCACTATTGATGCTACTTGTAATCCAGATTTTACTTGTAGCTCCTGGTCTGAATAACAGAAGTCTATGATTTTTATATTCAACAGGTAGAAGGCCAGGAAAAAAATGCTTTAATGCTTTTTGCTTTTTAATGCTTAATGCTAAACCCAAAGGCTTTAATCTGTTTTATGACACTTTAGTGCTGCTACACAATTCTGATAAGATGCTGAGTGCCCTGTAGCTCTTTAGTTGCCTGATTTCAGTGGGGCACAGTAGTGAATCAAATGTTCAGAAAATGCTGAATTGGACAAAAATGTATTTTCGTAATAGGTGGAATGCAAATTTAAAAGGAGACACATATGGTCATACTTCATATGCAGAGTCTCACAATTGAATGAAACAGTTAAAATCTTGGGTCTGCAAACTCTTGAAGAATGAGACAACTCAGAAATTCATCTGGTTTACTTCTGTGAGACCATTCATAGAAATAACATCTGCTCACCCACTTGTTTCCTGCCATGGTCCATCTTCAGGAAATCATCATCAATATTTTAAAATACCTAACAACATCAGAATGTCTGCACTGGTTCAGAGCTGGGCTCTGTCTCAGTCACATTGCTGCCTTCCTGGTGATCATGGCCTGACATCTAGGGGAAAGGAAGAAAGGAAAAAAAATCACAAAGGGAAAGGAAGAATGGAAAAAATTCACAAAAATTCCTTTAAAATCTTCTCACCCTTCACCTATCCCGAGCCTGATGTTGTCTGCCTAAATAATAACTTGAAGGGTTTTGCTCTTCCAAATGTTTGTGCAATCTACTCTTAAAATCCTGGAAACATCTTGTATTCCCAGCACATGGGACAGCCTGTTGAGTGAAATTCACCTCCTTTGTCCTGGACCTGGTTCTGAGAGTATCTTGGTGTGGATCCCGAATTTGTTACCAGCACAGATGATGAACTGTCAGTTCATGTCAATCCTGGCAGTGCTACTCTTTT